CGATACAAGGACATCTGCAAGCGGGATCTGAAGGCCTTTGGAATGGACCTCAACAGATGGGAAACCTTGACGTCTGAGTGTTCAGCCTGGAGGCAGGCGGTGCATCAGGGCCTCTCCCAATTTGAAGAGACCCTCGTCCAGCAGGCCGAGGCAAAAAGGCAGTCTCGAAAGCAGCCAAATCCGGGAGGCAGAGAGGGTACAGATTGTACAGTATTTGTCTTCAGTGTGGAAGGGATTGTGTCACTCTCGAATTGGCCTTCTCAGCCACACTAGACGCTGTTTCAAGTCCTCGATACAGAGTACGTTACCATAGTCTCTTGAGACTGAAGGATGCCTAACTTAATAAAATTATATTTTAAAAAAAAGATGACAGTAGCTGAAGCTGCCACAGGGAGAGAAGACGGAATAGTAAAGGTAGAAGCATGAGACAGGACTGAGGTGTGGGCGCCATCGAGCGGAAATGGCGATCCTAGAATGACGTCCAGAAGGCCTAAATGGGCTGTTCTTGCAAAATCAAGGCTGCAGTTTCCTTTACTATCCAAGTAGCTTTTGGTTGGTCGTTAATACTTTCCAATATTCAGATGGGGTGTTTTTTAAATGTATGTTGGAGGATGTTCCATTATATGGGCTGACTCTCTTGTCTTAGACGAGTTATAAGCTGGTTCAGAGGGCTGAGAAAACAGTTTTATAGCACTGTTTTGATTTCCACGTTGTCTTGCTGGCTTTTATGCGCCTTGCTTTTATGGCTTGATGTGTCATTTTTATTACCACTCCGTGCCTTTTAATGGGGAATTCAGTGTATAAAGTCTTTCTAAAATCATAATAAAATAATAACTATAAACAACAAGAAGAGGAGGTGCGGTTGCGTTGCCAAGCAATGTTGCTTCGATCCGACAAGACTCTCAAAATGCTTTTTTCACTCTTGTTTTGTTACCGTGCGAGGACCGGGAGAGAAAAAGAGGGGTGACTCGTGAGTTTTATGCTTCCTGATTCCACACTTGCATGGCACACTCAGAAGGATTTTTGTTTGTTGGTTTAAAATATTCCCCCCCCCGCCTTACTCCTTGGAAAAGGGTCATACAAAACAGTGTTGTGTAGGCATATTTCCTTTCCTTTCTTTTTTTTCTTCTCTTTTGTTGAGCAATGCCATCTTGGAAACGTGCTGATTTTGAACTGTTATTATTGTATTTTTATATGTGTCAATTTGTCATGTTTTTATCTATGTAAGCCGCCCTGAGTAGACGATGTCTAGAGGGGGCGGGGTAAAAATCGAATAAATAAAATATTTACTCGCAAGTAAGCCCAACTGTGTTCAACGGCTTATTTCTAGGGAAAGGTGCCCAAGACAGTGACCTGAATCCATCCCAGTTTTAATCTAGGACAGAAAAGATCAGGGTGGACACAAACTGGGAATCTTCCAGTCCGTCTCTCCCTTCATTTCATAAAAGGCTGACTCATCCAATAAAATCCCATTCTTTTATTAAATTTGTACAAAGTCACTGATTTTGTTTTAAAAAGAGGAACACCACAGAGGTAAATTCCATCAAGGCTCCTACAGTTTGCTTGACATGATCCCGTCATCCCTCTTCCCATCGTAACTTTATTCTAATTGTCACTGCCATTTAGTGTTGTTTTCTTGCTTTTTTAAAAAAAGGGGGGGGGTAACATTTCATGAACTGTGCAGGAGGATTTCTGGGCAAAAGAGGAAAGGCCATCCTTAATGAATGACCCCAGGCTCAATCAACACACGCTTGACCACGCGTGGAAGAAGCGTTCCTCTTTGTCTTCCACTGTTATAACATGCTTCGCTCCTGGAAACGTACCAAAAGTAGCACAGAAAGACCAGGAAGGCCGTCATCAGGCTGGGTTTAAGGGAAGAAAAAAAGCAGGAAGCGACCGAACGGGGAAGTCTCCTTCAGGGAACGAGAGCGAGCCAGCCAAGGATGAGGAGGCTTCCCCCAAAGGGTGCCGCCTTGTTGAACGTGGGGTCTCCGGAGATGGCGTTGTAGTACAAGGGGCCACAAAACAACCCCATACCTGTCAAAAGGATGCTCCCAGCCTGCAAGGCACAAAAGGGGTACGTTAGTTATTATGTCTCTTAGTTGAAATATTTTTAACCCCGCCTTTCTACTTAAAAAAGGACCCAAGGCGGCTTACAACATATATTAAAAAGGAACAAATAAACTCTGAGAAACGGTGCACATGAGCAGTACTAAAAACTTGATCTTTTTATTCTCTCTATTTATTTCTTATTTTATTTTTCTCCTTTTATAAATTGTTTTGGAACTTATTTATGTAATAACTTTTGTGATATTTTTATTTGCTGATTTATGTTGTGTTGGAACCCGCCTAGAGTGGTCGCAAGACCAGATAGGCGGGGTACAAATGAAATAAATAAACAAAGTCAAAGCAGTCATTCATAACGATCCATCTAAAAATCCCACCCAGGCAGCCGGTCACTCAGGGAAAGCCTGCCTGAAGAGAAAGGTCTTTGCCTGCTTGTGGAAGGACAGCAAAGACTGGCTTCCAGTGGCAAGGAGTTCCAAAGTCTGGGAACAGCCACAGAGAAGGCTCTCTCCTGTGTATCCACCCAACACGCTCTTGAAGGTGGCAGGACAGAGAGAAAGGTTTCCTCTGATGATCTTAACACCCGAGCCGGCTCAGAATGGGAGACGCGGTCTTTGAGATAGCTTCGGCCCAAGCCCATTTAAGGCAAAACCAACACTTTGAATTGAGCCTGGAGAGATTATTAATTAATTAAAGACCGTCTCCCATGTTTACGAGAGCAAAGTTCCTGTTAATAACCACGCAACAGATGCAGATTAGGATTTCTGTCCTGCCGGCCTTCCTCCGAGCCAGGAAGAAGCTTCTAAGGGCTGTATGTAAATCTCACAGCGAAAAGAAAGTGAAAGTAGCTTAACCCACTTGAGGAATATGGGGGAATATTTCTCCACCCATGCTATGGGGCCATATGGGCTGCTCCCCTGTGGGCACCTCCTGCCCCCTTGAAATATCAGCCATTTGTATTGCATTCAGCTAGTACAATTTGGTAAACTGAAGAAGAAAAGTAATCCATAAAACACCACTTTTTAAACCAATTTAGAATTGGTTTTAAACCAATTGGTGTAACAGAATGTCCACACAGCAGCTAAGCTAGCAATCCTTTTCAACGAACAAACACAGGCATTTAAAAAAAACACATGGCAGTCAGAATCGCACCTCCAGTTGCATATACCAGCAAAAATACAGCAGTGAAAATCCCTGGGGTAAAAGGCTTCTAGGAACAGTCGCCACTTGTATTCCTTGCATGCCAGTGGCATGATGAGGAACTCAAGCAGGGACTCCTTAGAATCACAGACCAACTGAGTGGGAAGGGGCCCCTCAAAGGCCATCTAGTCCAACCCCCTGCTCAAGGCAGGAATACAAACCCAAGGAGATCTGCCAGGGGGTTGTCTAAGTTTCTCTTGCATGCCTCCAGCGATGTCGTACTGCTCTAACAGTTAGGAAGGTTTTTTTTCCTGAGGTTCAGCCTAAATCTGGCTTCCTGTCACTTGAGCCCTCGAGGATCAAGGACAGATCCTGGGAGGATCAAGGACAGATCCTGCCCCTCCTCTACAGGGACTCCCTTTCAAGAAAACTTTTCTTGCTCTCCTCTCTCCCTTGTCTTCTTTTCTCAAGGCTAAACATGCCCAATTCTTCCCTGCCTGGGGGGACTGATAAGGGTCTGCTGTGACAACTGCAGTGTTCTGTAGCAGAAACCCCTGGCTTCTATTTTAGTATTTCGCAGTCGTGAACCAGGCTGACGAGCAGAGTTGAGTGGCTCTGACTTTGGCGGGTGTTCAGGCCAGTTTGAACTTGCCTCTTCTCCTTCCTGTCTACTCACCATCATGGGGTAGCGGCAGTGGGGCACAGCTAAGAGAGCCAGGCTGTGGAAGAGGTGATACTTGTTCGCCGTCTCGTACAGCTACAAGATGGAGAACGTAAGAAGCAAGAAAAACGTTAAGAAATTGCTTTGGATGAGGCATTCTTGGTTCGACGGTATGGCGTAAAGCGGTGGACTTTAAATCAAAGTTTCTATAGAAAAAGCAAAGAGCAGGTTTATCACAGGGTGTCAAGATTTTTCCTAGGTTTAAGAAGCTGATGAGCGATGCCATTTAAGACGAATGAAGAAAAGCCAAGAATCATACATGGATTAGTGGAGTATAAGACAAATGAATAAAAGCCAAGAATCTTAAAATCTGTAAGGTACAGAAAGCTAGAATATTTTGGCCACGTTGTGGAAAAGATTGTCACAGCTGATCATTCAAAATAAAATATATTGGGAAAGCAAATGGGCGGAAGGCAGACGAGGGAGAATAATTCACCTCTTTCAAGTAGTCATCTCGGTCACTGCGGCGAAAACCTGCATGGCATGAGAGAAAGAAGGGAAAGACAGACCACGGGTGAGTTTAATGGGGGGCCGGAAAGGGCCGAGAGCAAACACCCCCCCCCCACCTGAGCTATTAAGAATGCTGAAGCCTCAGGGACACCATACGATAGAAACCTTTTGTGGGTCTGGGTGTGGAG